AGTTTAGTTCATTTAGAACCTGGCTTTCTGAATCAGTTGAATACTCACTTCTCAGTTCTATTTTTTGCCTTTGCATAGACAAAAAGCTTGCTGCTGGCTTTCTGTTCTTCCTGACCAGAAAATTAATTAGCCTCTTTGAAAGATAATTCCAGTGTTTTTGTGGTATATGTGGACAGAAATAACTGACATGAATGATGTCTTTCTAGAGCTGCAGATGTCTAAGTGAAACAAGAAAATCTAAATCCGTTAGCAGAACTAGACTAAATATTGCTCTAAAAATCAGCACTTCCACTCTGCAGTAATGCTGGACTAATCTTGCGTAGTACACAAGGAGTGAAAAAGTTCTTGGTCTGACACTGAACCATTTTTTTTGTTACTTGTAATAAAATATCTGACCATATTTAACATACATGCATAGAACCATTGAAAACCAATCTGTGATCATAATCTTCTTTAAATCTCAGGAAGGTTGCAGGCAAAGTTTTAAATTCAAGTACTTTCTCATTTTAAAAATGCTTTACATATGTAAGGTGTGTGCAATTACAACTCAGAAACAGAAATTTAGATTGTCACCAAAAATGCTACTCTGTAGTTAAAAAAAAAGTATATCTTCACAAGGGAATGTCATTGCACTTCTAGTTCTTCAAAAATTAGTAGCATGCATCTATATTACATGTCTAATTAGGACATATGAATATATGAACGATATGAATATGAATTATCAGTTCACTTCAATTTGGCTAATACTTGTTCAATATTTTATATACAGTCATTCTTCAGCTTTCTGGCTGACATTTTAGTTTTGTCAATGAAAATCCTGTTTATTACTTACAAGATGCTTATAAACTCTGTCACCTGATTATGAAAATATAGTTTTGAAGACTAGAGGATTCTTATTTTCATTTTCTTGCAAAATTAACCATTGATTTGGTAAGATTTTACTTCTGATTTGATATGTAACTGCTGATACGTTCTGTATCATTGCTGCATCATTCAAAAGATCTGGATTCTATTAGTTATGAAGATTTTATTACCCTGCTTTGACAAAAATTCATACATATGCATTTAAAACTGTAGTTTTCACGCATGATGAAAGGAGTATAGAGAAAGATTAAGTGAAAGACAAATATACGCATATACAGTATGTAAACAGAATTAGGTGTTCAGCAAAACATCTTTCCCTTGCTAGTTCTCATGCGAAGGTTGCCACTGCGTATGCCACCAGTTATCTCCCTGCCATTGCAAGCAAGGAAGGGAGTCGCACTTTGCGATTCTCATTCCTGCAGGATCATCAGAAAGTTATTTTTGGGCCCTTGAAGCTTCACAGAAAAATTAAATGAGCTGCAACATTCCCTTTGCTACCCAGATGAAAATCGTACCCAAATTATTTGGGTCCGTATGGTTTATTGGCTCCCTAGCAAAGGCCTTCTGTCCTGGGAAGATCTCTTTTGCAAGGTGCCAGGAAGCAGCGGCAGGAGAGGAAAAGCTGCTGGAGCTGTCCTGGTGGGAATACAAGGAAGAACTGCAGAATCCAGGATGGAATACCCTTCCAGCAGTCACCTCAGGTCTGTAGCCAGACACCCTACCTAAGTGACAGGGGAAGCCTTATCTCCCAGCAAAATGATGAGTTCCCCTCACAACTTTATTACTGTTCCATACCACAAGGAGCTTTTAATTTTTTTGATTGATTGTCCTTTTTTAGTGCTCAAGTGCTGTGTGGCATATTGCTGGCTTTTGTCATTGTAGTCTGTTTTGAAAGACTGACTTTTATACCGCTTCAGACTTTCACAGCTAGAAGAATTGCAGCAGATGGCCAAGCAATATACTATATAGTGAATATTGGCCCAAGTAAACTTGAGGAAAAAATGGATTCCATCTAGAGACTTTAGAAGTCATGAATGATGCTTTCCTAAGTGATACACTTCAGAAATACCAATACAGTGGATCAGGGTGGTTATTGCACTTGCGAGTGCAGAGTGCACTTTCCAAAGAGTCACACGGGAGCCTGGATTGCCTGGTAGGGCAGCAGAGAGTGCCTGACCCTCTGGCTGTTGGAGATGAAGCAAATTAGCGGGACCTGCAGAAGGCTATAAACTGGTAGGAGTGACAGAAGATAACTGATAGGCAACCTTGAAAGGTGTTGCTCAGTAAAAAGTTCCCACAGGTCATCACATGAGTCATTAATTCACCACGAAATAGCATTTCAGAAACATATTTGCTGTGTCTCTTGTGCATAGTTTGGGTCGTCAGAGAGTTATTCTAAGGTTTACTGTGTTGGGCCAAAAATAAGCTAAGCTAAGCAGGTGCATGTTCTTTGGAATTTATTTAAGCTAAGCACAGGCAAAACCAATAAAGTTGTATGAATATCTATAAATTTTGAGAGTAAGCAAAATCTTTTAATGAAATACAGAAAACATTAATGTGAGTTGCCTGCTCTGAATTAAAAAAAAAAATAAATTTTAGCTTGTGCTAATTTGGTAAGTCTCAATTCAGAAAAAGAAAACTGCAAGCAAATATTAATGGAACCTAGGCACATATCTGAAGTTAAGCAGGTGCTTAAATGCTTGGCTGTACAGAAATGTGGTGATTTAATTAGGATCTTGTTACATTTGACAGGCATATCTGACTTTCAGGCTAGAGAGAGAGCAAGAAGAAAAACTAATTCTAGGTAAACGTGTCTGGATTCTAGTATGTGGCAGGAGGAAAAGCAAGCTTTCTGCACTGGATTTCAGTAAGGAGTTTGTATCTTGTATTAGAGCATTCTGTAAAATGAGTATTCCAGGCCTGCAAAACTCCCTGGGATCATTAAGCCGACTGGCTGTTTAAAAGAAGAAGAAAAAAAAAAGAATCAAGAGAAGTGTTTTTCCACCATAAAGAAGTCATAGGCAAGGATTTCATTTGTTTTCTTTGTTGCTCATCTGCTAAGTCAAGTGCTAGACTTCACTTTCTCCACCAGTTGACAGTGAAACAAAGAATATGTGCTCTGCTAGAGGTTTATTTGTTTGGCTTTTTTTCCAGTAAGAGATGACTCATGATTTATTTTTTTTTCAGAGTACATAATATAGTGTATCAGGTTTAGTAGCTGCTATTAGTACAATGAGCTGAAATCATTAAATTGATTCCACATGTGATAAATTCCAGATTAAAACAATCTCCAGCCCTTGTATATACCTTCCTATCTTTAATGTTGATAACATCATAGTAGTAAAAATGTTGAAAAGAAAAAGATAATAAAATAATAATTCCATGGAATCTATTTGGGTATCTGTATTGTTAGTTCGGCAAGAGTTTGCTAATTATCCATAGCATTTTTAGAACAGGTAAAGGAAGTGAAGTGTGAAATGAAAAATGAAGAGTCCCAAACACTTCTTTCCCTCTGCCTGTTCATCAAGTGTCCAATGGCCATTAAAAAGAAATCAAGAGTTCTGTTGTTCTGTCCTGGATCAGAAATACCAATTGTAGTTATTTTAGTACAGTTACGATTGATTTTAAGTACTTTTCTGATTGTAGAATTTACCACAGAAAAACATAGATTTATATAGTAACCACTCTGGTTAATCTAAAATTCGAACAGTAATCACAAACTTGAAAGGCACCCTCTTGCTTACAGGGTGGTAGCTGATAGTTCAGTTTAGATCATCCAAATGCTTCAGTGATACATTCCTCAAAACAGCGTCTGAATGTATGCTTAATTGTCACATATTTGGCTGTCTTTTAAAAATTCCTCCTGTCTTTAAGGGCATTAAGATCTTTCTACCAGTATTTTGAAAGGTTTTCAATGCCTTTTTGGCTGGTGAACTGAAAAAAAAATGCAAACGATTACTTTGTTGATCTTGTTTTTAAACTGAACTGCATTATCAACTGAGAGTGTGCTCTGAAGGTATTGTTAAAAGTGCTTTGAAAACTTGTAAATCCCCGTAATTTATGTTCATGTGGTCTCAACTGCTTCTTTCTGTCCTTCTGGTTTTAATTTGAATGCAGTCTTGTCTGGGTGTGTACCTGTAAAATTGTGTTTTTCCAAGTACAATTTACAGTCATGACCCTAAGTTTTACAGTGTTCTAACCTTATAGGAGCTTCATCCTATGCCGAAAAGCCAACTTTGGGTCAAACGGCTCTTTCATATTATAATTGTCTAATCAAGGTTACTTGGAACAGATCCGATTTTGGCATTTTTTAGTTTATCACAAAGACTTTATAAGAGTATCACGTAAATTGGAAAGGTTCCTTTGCAGGAGACCAGTAATAGCATTGCCTTATTTCTTCAGATGTACACAGTTGTAAACTTAGCCTGCTTCATGACAACAGTCCCATTTATCTAAACAATTCTCCTTTTAGAGTCAATGGCACTGATAGAAACCGAGATAAGAAATACAGATGGGAGGATCTTTCTGAGTCTCTACTTACTGAAACTCCTTGCTGTGCAGCTTACAATCACCTTTTCTTTTTGGTGCCTGAGAATGCGTGGCAGACATCTGCCATGAAACAGAGTCCTCTCTAATTGCCAGAGAGCACTCTAGTAAAGGATGATCGAGCTTCGGGAGGGTTTTTACAGTCCTGGTGATCTCTTTCTTGATTTTTTTTTTAACCTCCAAAAGATACGCTTACTGTGTTTAAATGGCAGGGATTGGGGTTTTTTATTTCATAGCTCTAACTTACAATAGTCTCTTCGCTATAATTCTTTGTCTTTTGAATGAAGGTATTAAATTATCTATTTTATTGTAATCTGCAGATTAATCCCCTTCTCATTTACTTACTGTCTTTTTGAGTGATACAGGAAAAAGAAGTTTCACAGCCTTATATCCTTTGTGTTCCTCTGTAATAAAAATACTTGCATGCTAAAACAGGAGTTATTTGGACTAAATGTTATAAGCTTTATTTGTACTATTTACTCCTCAGCCACGCTCATTTTTTTAGCATGACTTCAACACCCTTGGTGGTTAACAGGAAGGGAAGAAGAGATAGATCACGTGTTTTAATTTTGTTATGTTTGTATTTTCAGATCATTGTACAATCTGGCCGTCACCCCACAGTGCTGCAAAAATTATGCCAGTTGCCTTTCCAGTATTTCAGTGATCCTCGTTTAATCAAAGTGCTCTTCCCTTCGCTAATAGCTGCTTGTTACAATAACCCTCAGAACAAGATCATCCTGGAGCAGGAGATGAGTTGCGTTTTACTCGCCACGTTCATTCAGGTAGCTATTCCAGTAACATAACAGCAGCGTGCAGGATAACTGCAACAGTTTTTCTTGCCTTTGCTGTGTGTATGAAAATCATTTGACTTAAGTAAAACAAGTAAACAGCATTGAAGTACTCTAGGATTCTCTGCAGCTCTTTTCAAACCACAGATTATGCCTGTACTTGAGGCATCTTAAAACACTAAAAGGTTGCTGAGTAGTTCAGGTTCTCGCTATCACATGCAGAATCATGTTTTCATTAAAGTTACTGAACGTGCTAGGAAGATGTAGATCTACTATTACAAGACAATTCTTAAAATACTTTTTTTTTAAAAAACTATTGCACATATAGCATATCTGAAATCAGTATATTAATGTGTTTACATACAAATGTACAGTTGTATACTGCGTACAATAGATTTACAGAGAGAAATTAACAGAAGTGTGTACATTTTATGCAGAAAATACACAGAACATATGTTACCAGTCTAATCTTGCAATCTTTGTTTTTGACAGTAAGCCACTGAGGTCATTACGAATACTGTTTTGAATAGGATTTACAGCATTTTTGTTCCCTTTGTCTAAATTTATATGCTGTGCTTTATGTATCAGATTTTATGCATGCCTCGTTTTCCATACATTTTATTGACTGTTTCCAATGAATAAATGCAGTTTTCATAAACAGTCTACTATTAAAAAATAATATGCTTTTAGGAGTCTTGTAACTCTGTATCAGTCACCTGAAAGTTACTGTTGTTGATAGAGAAATGTTAGTCAAACTCTTTTTCCTAATGCTTTATAGCTAGTCCAAGGGCAGGCTACATGGATTTGGGAGAGAAGGCACAAGAACTAAATATTTACCAAAAGCCTCTGCATAACATCAAACTTCTGAGTGCAACTACTTTTTATCCTTTTAATACTAAAATAATTGCATAGCAGTTTTAAAAAAAAAAGTTTGGAACTTAGTATTAAAAAAGTTTGCCATACAGTGATGAACTTCTGGTTAAATACAAAGCTATAATTCATCTTTGGCTTTCTTATAGTGAAACTACAAATTTCAATGTAGAAGTTGCAGTGGCAAAAAATAATTTAAGTATTACGAGTAAATGCAGCAAGTTTAGTGTTTTTTCAGCCAGAAATCATGGCTGTGGAGAGTGGAGGAGAGTGTTCCCTATATGAATAATTAAGGTTATTTACCTTGATTTCTGTGCTATAAGAGAGAGAATGGCATTTAAATCCCCAGTAGCTACAGCAAAGTGTAAGTATATTTACAAGAGTCAGCATTATTACTTTGATTTCTAATTAGAGGTATATCTCAGATGCCAAGTCCACATACTATTCTTGCAGGCTTTTAAAAAATATGTTATATTAAAATATGGAAGATCCTTGTGTACTGTAAAGTGTTATGTCTTTGCTAACTTCACTGATACTTTAGTATTTTAGCCATTTTAAAATCTAATCCCAAATGTTGCACATGTGCGCACACACACACACACACACACACACAGAACAATTCTGAAAGGAACCAAGGAATGCTGATGCCCGCACATGCAGAAAAGACTTGCCTTTCTACTTTTATTTCAACTCACTGCTGTTTGTGAAGCAAATCTCTCATTTGGTTCGGTGGAAGGTTTGGGAAAGACTGTAAAATGTTTCCCAGTGACTAGAAAATGAGATTCTTCCTGTGCCAGGGAATGCAAAAAGAAGTCCCATTTATGTAAAAGTTTGGTGGTGTGTACAAATATAACACTTAAATACAGTGTGTTAAATGTGTGCAGCGTAAATCAAAGGAAAATGATTGCTGGATTTTACAACGACCTACATTATACTCCCTACCAACAGATTTATTTCCATCATCTGATGTTTGCATCATCCTTTTTATTTTTGTTACCTCTGTTTTCAGATGTGCTGAAATAATTAAAAAAAAACATTTACGAGTATCCATGATTTGCTAAATTCTGTCTCTTATGTTAAATAATACCATCTCTGGTCAGTGAATACTGGAACAAATGATAGGATCCTAAAAGCCCTCTCTGTACTGGGGCAGCTGACTGGCATAATCCTACGTTGTTCTGAGTGAAGTCAGTGTCCTTGCTGACTCCGGAGGATGCAGCATCCTGTCCGATAGCAGCAGGGATCACCTATCGCGCTGGGCACTTCAATGCACTGCACCTCAGCTGGTTACACAGCTGGCTGCTGCGTTGGCCAGAGTTAATCACCTCTGCGGAAGAACTTCACTTACTCTCAGGAGATCCGGACCTGAGGCTCCTGAGTCACTGGGAAGCATGGCTAATGAAATTGGGATAATTCAAGAATTTTGTAAGAGTGTATTTGGAGTCAGGAGCATAAATCTAAACCACCATTTGTTTTAAAGAAACACAGCTATAGTAAATGTTCTCTTAAATTAAAAGCCATGATAATAACTATTTCCTAAGAAGATATTAAAACCTTGGGTTTTTTCTGTTGTGTATTAAAAGTATATTATTTTCAAAAAAGGTGTAAATAAAGGTATAAAAATCCACTATATATTATAGAATTTAAGTGCTGGCAGTATTCTGTTATGACATGTAGCAAACAAGCCGGAGTTTGTTAATTTACAGATTTCATAAAGGATTAGTATTTTGAATGACCGTGAAGACTTAAAAACATTGTTTTAATTCCTCAGATACAAGACCTGAAAACCTGATGCCATTTGTTTTGTTTTTTTTTTTCCTCCATAGGATTTTGCACAGAGTTCAGGCCAAATGGATAATCAGTTATCTCAGCAGAGGGGTACGTCTCCAATGAAATGTAACAGAGTAGCAATTGGGTAACAAAACATGTAGATTTTATATTTTACTGTGATTTAATTTTTTTGAATCTGCATCATGATGAAAGAAATACAGTAAATTGCAACGTGATTTTACAGTTTGGGGGGAGGCTCCCCAGCTTACATTCTGATTTAAACATACATGTCTTCCAGTCTGCTGCTCATCGTATCAGAAATTCAGACTGTTAATCTTTGTTAAATGCTATGTGGTATCATGTCTTGAAATGTGATATTGTACATGCACATATTTAATTAGCTGTCACAAAGGCTACCTTCAAAAGTTTTAGGTTGCAGAAGCCACGCAACCATGCCAATACATCCGGGGAGCCAAAGATTAGTAAAATACTGTCCTGTAATTATCCTGTAAAGTTTCTCAGTTTGCAGAAGGGTTGCAATTTTTTTTTTTCCCCACATTTAGAAATGTGTGATTTCTAAACATTCCCCAATTGCAAAAAAGCTGACATAATAGTAGCATAAGCAGGATTATTTTTATCCATTATATCATTTGAACGTGAAGGATGATGTCCCCAGAAAACAAATGGGAACAATAATGCTGCTGGGAATAAAACCTGAAAGCACAAACTTCATTGTTGGGTGCTGCGCTGCAGCGTGCTGCTTGGAGGGTTGGACCCCACAAATCTGTGCACACAGGTGTAATCCTGTTCGCGACACCCGCAGTACTCACAGGAGTAAAAGCCGTGTTTGTAATCCTGCTGTGGGCTTTGGGGGAATTGGGGAGCAAAACTCCTCTGCAGCCCTTTGTGGAAAAAGAAGCTGCTAAGCAGAGAGAGCACTGTGGAGGCTGCCGAAGCTTGAATGAGGCTGAATTGGTCCCCAGTGGGTCCAAATACATAAAATGTGTGAAGATGTATAATGTTCCGATCTGTAAATCAGAGCGCCTGATCCAAAAGCTTAAAAATCTAAGCCTTTGCTCATCAGAGCCCTCTGCCCCCATTTCTAAAGCCAAACCTCGTTGTCCGGAGCTCCACAGAAGTGTTACCCTGTGATTTGAGAAGTTTTTGGTAGGAAGAGAGGAGTAAATGACTTAAAGTATCTTGAACTGGCTGTGCACTCATTATTCTTGTTTTATTGCCATCTTATCTTAAGAGGGAATAACTTGGTAATTTTATGTTCTGTCTTCAACAGAAAAATTTTTCAATTCTCAAGATTATCTTGAGCTGTCCAACAGATTCCCCCGCCAGTCCTGGGAAGAAGCTCGACAGTTCTTCTTGAAAAAATAAGTGTATTTGGTTTTAAAATCCCTAACATCATTACGCTGACCAGTTCCTG